CCCCCCTCCCCTTAAAACCACCAGTTCGCTTCCCAGCCATTTTTTCAGAGACGTGGGGCGTGCATGCGGCCGCATCAGGCAGGCAGGAAGTACCTGGGCGGCATTTCATGGCACATCCATCCAGGCAAATGGTCCTCATGCAGGGCCCGTTTTGCCTGGATGGATGTCCAGCGAAACGGCAGGCCCGTACTTCCCGCCCGACACAGCAGGATGAACGGCCCATGTCTCTGAAAAAATGGCTGGGAAGCGTACTGGTGGTGTTTAATGCATTTTTTTAGTGGAATGGACTGAGAAAAAGACACGTGGATAACCGGGGAGGTGATGGTATCAAGGTTTGCATGTGGTTGTTCCTGGACGGCAGCTGAGACCACGTACAGGTCTGCCTGTGGTTGTTCCTGGACTGAATCTGACACCACGTACGTAGCCTTGTCCTCCCCCTGCAGGATTCCAGCTCAGCGTTTCTTCTGCCTCATCATCCCCTTCTATTCTTAGTTCTGTTATCACTAACTACCGAGGCTATTGCCGATGCTGTTTGTGTTGAAGGACAGGCAGGAGAAGGCTATGTACGTGGTCTCAGATCCAGTCCAGGAACAACCACAGGCAGGCCTGTACGTGTGTGTTTGTGTTGGAAGAAAGGGAGGACAAGACCGTATCCCGAGTCCATTGCCTCCATCAATGAATGCCATCACTGAGAGAGGCGAAAGCTCCCACCTATCTTCTACTTCTCCTCCCACTCCCACCAACGGTGACTGTCCTGTAGTCATTGTCCCCTGTTGCAAAAGGAGGACCAGGTGCACTCTTTGCCAGAATGTCTGTGAGCCCAGACATTTCCGCTGCTGTTTTCTGATTCCATGGAGGCTGACAGTGAGCTCCATCTCCAAGAGTTCTCTACTTTCTTAGTGACGTCAACAACCTCTAATTCGCCTTCTTCTTCTTCTTCCTCCTCCTCTTCCTTCCCCTTTCCACCTCCTCCCCGTCGTCCTCCTCTCCTCCTCGCTCTCCACATCGGCCTCCTCTTCCTCCCGCTTCCTCCACCTCCTCGTTGTCCTCCCCCTCC